TGGAGTTATGCATAATATTATAGAGGATTAAAATAGATTAGTAGTGCAAGAATGGAGTTGCTTTCAGGATCCAAAAAGAAGGCTCCTGACAGATGGATCGGTACACAGAAACATGGTCTCTTCTGGTACATTTTGCACCCCAGGATTCTCTTAGTTAGTTACTGATCCAATTTGAGCAATCATTTCTAGGACCTTCAGTATATAGCAGATTGAGAGTATACAGACGGATCTTCTTTAGAGTATTTGAAGTCATCGTCTGGACGAATAAGAACAAATTTTTACCTCCTCCTTTGCTGCTTAATTAAAAAATTTCAAAACCAGTTCTTTGATTTAGAGTGTGTGTGTGTGTGTGTGTGTGATATCTAAATGTTTAGTAGCAATGGGATCATCTATGACCTTCCAAGATTTGATTTTTCACACTCAATTCATTAAGAAGTTGGGAAGTCAATAAAAAGTTTACTTTTTTCCAAGATGCTTCATAAATAGTTATTTTGATGCATAGTACAATTCAGTCAGAAAGCTTTAAGTTTTAGAAATGGAGAATGTTGGAAATTGGCAAGGAGCTTAGAGATGCTTTAAATAGGTTGGGCAACTTATTCTTGGTTATATGTTTCTTTATTATGTTTTGCCCAATTAGACATCTAATAATATCTGCAAAGGAAAACCCTGCTCTGCCTTTCCATTCTGCCACATTAGTTTGGAATCCCAAAGTACTGCCAAGGGTATAAAACAAGATCAGCTGGAATCCAGATGAAACGGGGGCGATGAGGAGGATGTGTGAAGGCCTTTATGGACACATTATAAATTTAAGATTTTGCCTTAAGAACACCGGGAAGCCACTGAAGATTTTGAAGAAGGATACTGAAATAATAAGATTCCTCTGTTTTAAAGATTGCTCCAGCAGCTGTAAGGAGAGAAAAAAAATGGGATGGGACATGTGTAGATGCTAGGAAATTAGTTACAAAGAAACTGTAGTGGTCCAGGAGAGAGAAGATGGTGGCTTCTAGCCCAGTATTCTAATTGATATCCATATGATAACTCTGAGTCATTATAACAAGGTTTAATTATATTTGGTATACTCTGTTTAAGATTGCAGGAGAAGGTGTGATATGTTTTAATGACATTTCTATAGAAATGTATCTGGTGGGGGGAAACGAAATCATGTTCAATCATTTGGAAGCTAGGACCGGGAATAACTCAGTGCCCAAAGAGGTCTATTTCTAAATAATAATGATAATACAGAATATTTCAAATTAAAATTCAGAGGCACAAGTATTTTCATTTACACACAGAGCATGCAGAATGTATAAAACCCCCCATACTAAAGTACACAATTATTTTGAATGCTGCTTCCTAAAAAATACTGAGTCAAACACATTTCAAGGAAGCCAGCTTCTGACATCTACTAAATGATTCTCTCTCAAACATTTCTTGGAATCAACATATTTTCACACACAATAACCTTCACACAAACATATATCTCATATTTCTGCCACAGTAAATGTAGGTTTTGAATGAATAGAAGCAATATTGTTTTACCTATGGGATCTTCAGGTTTTAATCAAGAGATTTTGCAGTGACAGTTTATAATGAGGCAGCTGGTATTACCAAAAAAGCCATATGGAACTATCAAAGTGCTGCTGCAAATGGTATCAATTAACTGGTTCATTTTCAAAACTTTCATTTAAATGTGATTTGATCAGAAGGCTCAGGAAAATAAACATTGGGTGTTCTGTGGGGAGAGGTGATAGGGGGTAGGCAGAACCCTGACAATAAAAATAGATCCTATTTTTAAATTAAAAGAGAGTAACAGAGGAAGAAAGAGATTTACATCTATAATAGGGCACCTAATAAATAAAAAAACCTTTTATATCACTTTAATATGAAGTTTAAATTACACTCTTTCACTATATGGGAATATTTAGATATGTATCTTTTTAATATCTTTATCAATCTAAGGTAGTTTTAAAAATTGTGTTAACAGCAACAATATTCTAAGGGAACACTCAATAGGAGGAGTAAGTTACAAAAACAGGTTTGAGAATGAAAAAAAAATCACTCCTATTTTTTAGTGATTATGTCACAAGCTAAATTTTAATATTCATCTCCTTTTTTAAAAAAAAGAAAGACATTGGTTCTGACTTCAGTTTATGAAAGTTCTAAAGCTTCTCAATTAAGAATCCACAAATAATTAAGAACAGATATGAAATTAAAACTCTCAAGCTGAGCAAGGAAATTAAGAATGTCATCTTCAAGGGAAAGAGTCATAAAACAGTGCCGAAAATGCCTACCATGTCGCTTAGCTGTTAAGGTTCCTATTTTGACAAAAGAAATGAAATTTTGTTGTTACATGCCTTTAAATCCTGTTTAAGTAAATCCAAGAGTTTTTAAATGAATGTAATTCAAGAATCAGGTATAGTCAAAAGACAATTTACTGTTAGCATCCTCTAAATCTCACCAGAGGCAGGGGTTCTAACCCCTTTCGCTCCATTCACCAGCTGTGGTACCCTTGGCAAGTCATTTAGAATCTCTGAGCTGCAGTTACTTCACATCCAAGTGGCAAAGGTTGGAGTATGTGCCCTCTTAAAGTTCTTCCATGTTTATTATTGTATGACTCTAAATAAAAAACTGTTAAAGACTTCCACAGTGGTTATTACAAATGAATACTAAATTACTTCTTTTTTATATTTTATTATTTTTATATGGATTTGCTCTCAAAGAACACTGAAATTGGACAGCCTGGATTTCAATCCAAGTTCCATTCACCCACTAGCCATTTGACCTTGCATGTGTTAGTAACTCAGCTTCTCTAAAATTTATTCTTAAAAAAAAAAGGATAAAAATAGTCTCCGCCTGAAGTGCTGGAATGTGGGCCAAAGGTGCTAGTGCGTTCCAAGTACTCAGTGCTGGACATCAGCATGCATTCAAAGTTGGCTTGTATTACTTTCGTTTTCGTTGTAATAACAAAGTAGAAAATACAATGTAATAGTATTAAACACAATGAAAAATTACAATAATGGTATTTTTATAGAAGATAGTTTATGAAATAATTTATCAAATAAATTCTGCAGAAGAATTATTCCATTAAGACTAAATAGAAAATACATAAAAACAGAAGAGTTAACATGGATGGTAACTGATGATGTATTCATTAAATGCAGTATCTTTTTGGGAGGATCATGGAGACTTCTGAAGTCTTGAAAAACTCCATGGAACTCAGAAAACTAGACATATGCACTAAAAGACAAAGTGTTTCAAGAGGGACCTAGACCTTCACAATCCATTTTGAATGCCTCTCTCAGGTAAGGAACGCATGCTTTCAGTTCGTGTTTGCAAACTAGAGGTCCTTAAGCTCTAATTTCACCTATAAACATGGTCTGCACCTTAAATCTTTATCAACTATTAATGCTTCAAACAGGGTATGAATTCTTCAGTGCACCATAGTTCTTAGCTGTACTCTCTGGTTTTAATCAAAGCCATCTTCATTTTGGGCTATTTTTTGACCTCTTTTTATAACCTCTACTTTCAGAACCTACTATGTGACAGACATTCTACATTCCTCTTATAATTCTTTTAGCAGCCTTATACTTAAAAAGATGGCAAGATAAGAACCCCATTCCAATGCCTCTCCTGCAGTTAGAGGTCCATGTAGTACCAAGTTCTATTAAGATAAAGAAAGAGATTTGGAAAAGTGGACAACAGTAGCTTGAGATCACGGCCACAACTTTGAAGGACTGGTTTTTCTAAAATGGCAAAAATGTTCCTGGTACAGCTGTGGTAAAGATGGCAGATCTAGGGGTGGGGGTAAGACTGAGAAAAACTGGATGAAATATGTTTACAGCATTGAAGTCTACGGGGGAGAGAATAGTCTAAGAGTATTGTATTTTAGGGCATTATTTTTATCGTAGGAGTA